TACGTAATTAGTTTAAAAAGATAATAGGTAAGAGGCTATTTAATTGAGTAGTTTTAGTTAAAAAACTATACCGCTTTAAACCTAGTAATAAGTATATATAATTATTATAAATAATTTCTTATAATACATTTATAGGTATTTCATTTATATATTATATTGTATTATATTATAATACAATATAATACAATACAGTATAGTAAAAAATACAAAAAATACAATACATTTAGAGGTCTAAATAGTAGCTCCAATTAAATAATCGTAATATAGGTTATCTAGACAAGCCTAATATCATATATTTAGTCGCGTATAGTTATAAAGCTTATCTAATAACCTAGAAAGCCCTTTAAGGCATTTAAAAACAGGCTCTTAAGATAATAGCTTACATAAAAATTAGCTACCTTATTAAATATAACTTAACTAATATCTTTCACATATAAATTCCATTAAAATCGGAAGTTAAATAGGTTAAAGATATAACCTTTAATAAAAAAACCTTTTATTAAGGCTAAATTTATTAAATTTAATTAAAGAAGTTATAATAGCTTAAATTTTTAATAGCTTAAATTTTTAACCTATATTAAGTCTAATAATAATAGTAATATTAACGAGGTATAATCTATTATTAAAGTAAACACTTAAGGCCTTTAAGCTAATTAAAAAGAAAGTTAGTTATTTAAATCTAATATTTTTAAAGACCTTAAATCTAATATATGCGGCCCTTATTAAAACCTTTTAATACTAGCTTTATTAAAGCCTTTTAACTAAGATAAAAGACCTTAACGGTTATAATAAATTTCTAATAGAGCTCTTAATAGCTTTTATAATAGCTTTTTAATTAAATAACTTAAAAGGCTATATAAAAGAAGCCTACCATTTAAACCTTAATATTAGAAAGAGCTATAAAAGCACTCTTATAAGCTTAAATTTAAAAAGGCTACTTAAGCTAAATATAATACTTTAATTAATTAAGGGACCTTTTAACCCGTTTAACCCGATTAAATAAAACGATTATATCGCCTATTACCGTTAACTTAAGTGTTTAAATATAAATATAATAAATTTAAATTTATTAATAAATTTAAGGCTCATTTATACGTATAAGGTAACCTTTAACCACCTAATAATAAAGAGACCTACGCTATAACCTTAGCTAAAAGGTTATTTTAAACCTTAATAGCTATTATAGCTAAATTTACCCTTAAAGCTAGGTAGCTTA